TCCTGTGGTATAGTTTGCCAGTGAAGGTGGGTTGAATGACTTTTGTGTCTACTGGTTTCCAGAATAATGAATTGGTTGCAAAGGTGAACAGTGATTTCTTAGAATCATTGTGATCACATAGATGTCAATGTTATGATGTATTTCAATTCATTGCAATTATAATTTGTATTACTAGTTTGGATGGTGGGGGCCACATGACCCTAACGGTTTTATGTAGTGTGCCTGCTTCTTGGTAAAAGAAAATGTCCAGCCTCATTTTACATATTTGGTACAGGAAGTATATAATCAGCTATTCTCAAAGATTTCTTGTTATTTTCATGGAAAATAGTGTTTAGAAATTGCAATCTTTGCTTTGGAATAAAAGATTATTATCTGTCAATAAAAACTTGCATGTGATGACAGAATGAGCTATGCGGATTTTTTAAATACAATGTTCAGGGAAGAAAGAATAGCAGATGTAAAGACTCTGGGGCTCAAGCCTAGAGAACAAGAAGAGGATAGTAGCAGGAAATGCAGTAAGGTGATGTGGTATAGGCCAAGTTAAACCTGGCTGGCTACTACAAGGATGTTAGCTTTTCTTGGGGGTAATATGAAGCTCTTGAAGTGCTTTGAACAGAGGAATGGCATATTCTTTCTATTTTTGTCCTAACTGAATGACTGTGTTACCTCAATAACAGACTGAAGAGTATGAAGAGCAGGGCCTGGTATGATGGCTCAATGGCTAAATTCGCACCTTGAGAGTACTAAGATCCTATATGGGCACTAGTTCATGTCCTAGCTGCTTCAGTTTCCCATCTAGCTTCTTGCTTATGGCCTGGAAAAGAAGTAGAGGACGGCCCAAAGCTCTGGTTCCTGATTTTAGACGGGCTCAGCTCTGGCCATTATGGCCATTTGGGGAGTGAACCAGTGGATGGAAGATCTTCCTCTCTGCATCTCCTTCTCTCCTAAAATGTGACCTGTCTTTCCAATAAAAAATAAGTACATCTTAGAAAAGAGAGAGAGAGTATTAAGAGCAGAATCTAGGAGACCAGGTGAGAGACGATGTGAGATCAATGTGATTGCAGTGTAAATAATTAAAAGAGGTCACATTCTGAACACATTTTTAAGGTATAAACCACAGAATTTGCTAAAAGATTGGATGTGAATTGTGTGAAAAGAGGAGTCAACCATGAATTCAAGGCTTGTGGTATAAGCTAGAAATGCAATTGTAAAATATGATAACATAAGTGATTTCTCTTAGTGGGTCAGTGTAGCATTTTTGTGTATATATGTGCTGTGGTTGGTGGGAATCAATCATTCAAAACTTAATAGAGAACTCATATTTATGAAAGGGTTGCAGTAAGACAAGTTGAACAAAGGGGAAAGAGATTCCAAGCAGGGCAAGCAGCTTGTATTCATGCATAGTGAAAGGATTATAGGCTTTGGAATTACAGTTCTTATTGTGTGTGTACAGTCCAGCACAGGAAATAAACTGCTAAGGTAGAGAGAATCCTTAACCACTCCTTGGTACAAATGTTTTTGTTTTATAGCTGATAAGGACACTATAATTTTGTGAGAATTTTCCATTATTGGAAATACATTTCATAAAGATTGATGGTGTGGAGAATGGTTTAGATGAAATTTGGTACATAATAACATGAGGAAGATAGGGAGAGGTCTAAGAGAACCTGGAAGATCCTGGTTTGTGTGAGTGAGTGGATGGTGGAGCATTAACTAACACAGTGAACACTAAGGGGGACAAATTTGGAAGTAAAGACAGAGTTCAGTTTAGATGTTGTTTGAAGTGCTTGTGGAATTTCTGATAATATCTAGTATGTACTGGAAATATGGGTCTGGCACTCATGTGAGTGGACTAGACAGGAATGTAAAGGCATGAGTAGGAGTGACAAACTAGCTAGAATAAACAAAGTAAAGAAAGAAGTCGACGGGGCAAGTTCTACGTAACATCAACATTTATGGCACACAGAAGTTGACTGAGAAGGAATAATCATATGCAGTTGGAAGAAGGAAATCAGATATGAGAGGGAGACGTGGAACACAGATGAGGAAACTTTCACAAAAGAAGGAATGCAGACAATGGCCCATGCTGCAGAAATCAGGGAGGGTAAAATGCAAAAAACACTGATTGGAGGTCAGTCGGTGATCTTGGGGAGTTTCATGCAGTGGAATGAGGAGGTGACAAAGGAAAGGCATAGTGTAGGCCATGATCTCAAGTAGCTTCTCTGGGGAAGAAAGGAGAGGCATAGGCTGACACAATGGATCTGTTGGTTTTTTGCCCCCACCAACCCCCCCACGGCGGGGTGGCGCAGTGGTTAAGGTCCTCACCTTGCACACGCCCGGGGTTCCCATATGGGTGCCAGTTCTAATCCCGGCAGCCCTGCTTAATATCCAGCTCCCTTCCTGTGGCCTGGGAAAGCAGTCGAGGACGGCCCAAAGCCTTGGGACTCTGCACCCGCTTCAGAGGCTCCTGGCTTCGGATTGGCTCAGCTCCAGCTGTTGCAGCCACCTGGGGAATGAATCAATGGACGGAAGATCCTCTCTGTATATCCGCCTTTCCAATAAAAATAAAATCAATCTTTAAAAAAATGCTTTTTTTTACTTAATTACACGTGAAATTTGGTAACCATTTCAATTGTACAAATACTGTAACTTACTTTGTGCAATCAATCCACAGAGCATTTTTCATCTTGCAAAAACTGAACTCTATACCTATCAACAATTTATTTTTAGGAATGAGAATTACTTCAGTGTTTTATATGCTTAGGGGGAAGAACTAATAGTGAGAAAAGGAAAAATGAAACTCCTATTACATGAAGAATTTAAAAAGATCATTCCATTATTAAAATAAAAAGAAATAACATTACCCTTTTTAACAGTTCCTTGAGTCTCTGAGGTTTTTTTTTGCTAATTGAAAAACAATAAAATTGATCATTTTTATTCAGAACCTGAATGTTAAAAAATCAGATCTTTAGACATACACACTAATACCTATCTCTTTTGTAATTGTTTTTTTTTTTTTCCCCAAATAGGAGGCCATGTCTGCTTAAGTCTGATGTTTTCAGGTTGCTGAGAACAGGGGTGTATATTGGACAATTTGATTAAATTGTAGCACAGAGAATGATACCATAAAAAGCATAAAATGCTGCTAAAAGACTCATGTAATATTGCAAGCTAAAACTATTTTTATTGCTGAATATTAACTTTGAATGAACTAGAAGTTTTTATGAAGTTCTAATTAATATAATGAGATTTTACATATCCTAGTTAAACCAGAAGTTGAGTGCTAGAATATGCTAACTGTTGACAGTCTCCATCCCTCTCTTGCTCTGCTGAAATTAAAAGAGTGGATAAGTTGTTGTAAGCAACCTATGGTTGAGCATGTCCAAGTGGAACATTGTAAGTAATGGCTGTTTTAAATTTTAAAACAGAGAACTACTGCCACAGTGCCCTGTGCTGGGGGTGGGGAGGGGAGGGTTCTCAAAGGTACGTTCATGTACCTGTCTATTCTGCCTACCCCTCATCCACTGTGGATCATCTTTGTTCATTATTTTCTCCTTTCTAGCTTTCATGCTCTGGTTTCCATTCTGTAGTTTACAGGGCATGTTGTGGGCATCAATTTTTTCAAATTTTTGACCAAAGTAGTATTGTAAAAGCAATCATAAGCCCATTATTGAGATTGCTGATTTTTATACATTTCGCATCCTGTCACTTAAAAACAATTTTACCACAATAGAACGGTTACCAAACTGACTTTGATTATGTAAGATGGAATCAATGCTTCTGGAGAGGGATTCAATTGGAATTTTAATTAAGTATCAAATACTTGTTATTATAAATACAAAGTCTGAACTATTTAACAAGATAAATTCTTGCTGTACAAATTCTTTGAGTGCAAATTCTCAAGCTGGAAAGGCTATATAGAAAATGCAAGAACAGGGAAGCAGGACACTGGATCTATGTTCTTTCTCTGCTGCTATCCAATCACTAATTCATCCATCACAGAAACTTAGAGCACTTAGGAGAAAGGGCTCTGGAGTGGGGGTTGCCTTCAATCAGTGTGAACAGGAGCCACTGGCTTACCTTCACATCTAGCCTCAGGTTAGACTAGATGTCTGAGGTGCCTTTCCAATCAGCAGCGCTAAGGTTCCTGACAGCCTTGTGCGGGGAGAAGCTGGGACTTCAGGACTTACCTTCCTTCTCAGAGATTTGGCCCTTGTCCTGATTTCAAAAGAACTTCAGAGGCACAGTTTGAAAATAATTTGGCCAGCCTTTTATCTGCACTTGGATCTTCTTGGCAAAGTCCAGGTGTGGCTATTCATGCTCATAAGATTTCAGAGGTCGGAAATCAAAGTTGGGAAAAGGTGGACGACTTTTGCCCGTGGTAGCGAGACAAAGATTCCCAGCAAACAGCTTCCTCCGTGTCTCTGCCTTCCAACCAATAACCCGGTTCTCTGGGTGCCCGTGGCAGCCCCCACTGCTTGGATGACCCGTTGCTCCCCAGCTGCAGCAAACCTTTTAAAGTGACTCCTTGCTCAGTGCCAGAAGTGATGGACTTTCTAGGGCGGGAGGCACTGCTCTTGCTTCTTTTGAGTTTTTCTAGTGAGTATCCAGGTAACAAGATGTTTGTTACCTGGCTTCATCCTTGCAGGAAATCAAGAGCTTTTTGCTTGCAGCCAAGTCGACTTTTTCACGGGAGAAAAATGAATTTCGGTAGCAAAGACAGCGGGAGAGCTCAAGGAGGGAGGGAAAGAGAGGGAGAAAGGGACAGAGAGATCTTTGCACCTAAGTTTCTTCAGGAATACAAAATGTTACCAGTGGGAGAAGCCTTCCAGTAATATTAGGGACTGAGTCGTGAAGACTCAGCTAATTTGTCCTTTCTAGTCAATGGAAAAAGACATAGGGTTTGAGGTTCCTTCCGAAACGGGGCCGGCTAATTTAGCCCCTCCCACACGCCCCAGGGTCTGTTATATCTGTGTTCCTTGAGTACCTCTCTCGCTGAGACCGACCACAGCAAGCAGAGGCCGAAATAAAAAGGAAAGAGGAGGAAAACCAAAGCTGCTACTTATGGAAGATAGAAAGGGTAAGACCAAAACGGATTCGATCCAAATCCTTTAAGAAAAAAAAAGGGGAGGGAGGGAGCAAAAACAAAATTCCAAACCCGAAGCAAGTACTTGAAAGAGCAAGGGGCAAAAAGCTCTGAATGAACTTTCTCACACTCTTTCTTTTGAGAAAAGGCAGAGAAAAGCCTTTGGGAAACTTTGTTAGCAGAGTCCAGGATTGCAGTCCAACGGTGGCTCTTAGGCTAGCTGGAGGAACTCATGAATATTCATGATTAATTTGTATGCAGATCTGGTTCTTTAGAGGCAAAAGACTTTTTCAGTCCCTTTGCAGTTTACGGAGCTGCCGCCGATTGCACAGTCCTGAGCCATTCTAGGCTGGGCTGAATTCCTCAGCGTGTGTGTTTGTTTGAAGATGCTAGGCTCTGTATGTAGATTTGTTTTGTTCTCAGATTTCCTGCATACTTTCCTGTTGTGAAAGTAGCAAGAGTGGTTGGTTATGCTCGAATTAGAAAGAGAAGTTTGTGTGGTAAGAGATTATCATCACAGGACTCCAGGGTGTCTTGCAAAAGGCTGCCAGTTTCTGGAGATGTGTGGGGGAATGTGTATGTGAGAGCGGGGGCAGGGACTGGTGGAGGGAGAGAGAATAGTTCTATCCAAAAAAGAGCAGATCTTATCTCACTTGCTGCATTTTGATTTTGTCTGAAATCTACAAGAGCAGCGTGATGTGTATAGATGGTGTGCTGTCTCTGTCTTTTACCTCTTTTGGGCATTTTCTGCCAGGACGGAGAGCCAGCTCCTTGCCAGCCTGTGGGAGCCAGGAAGAAACTGCAGCAGCCAGGGAGCCGTAGCATAGGAAACCTTTCTCTGTACCGTTGCTAACTTCTAATATTTGCACACACGTTTATCCACATAGAACACAGAGAACTGAGATGAGTATCCAAGAGATTTATTAAATCATTATAGTGATGAGAGCCATTAGGGCTTGCTAAGTATTCTGTGCTGGGAATTGTGCTAAGCCTGATACATGTACTATCTCCTCCTTACATTGATCTGAGGAGGTAAGGGCTACCAGTCTCTGTTTTCCTGATGATGAGATTAATGTGCCAAGTGGGCAACTCGCGTTGGCCTCGCACAGTAAGTGGCAGATGTGGATCCAGGCAGGCTGGGGCAGGACCCCGGGGTTTAACATTCCCCATGCACTGTTGCTCTTCTCCGCTCTGGTGAGCTGACACTGTGGATGCTGGGTTTACAATTCCTTCAGGCTACTGGGGAAATGATAGTGCTGAGTCTGTGAAGGCCTCTCTAATGCAGTTCGCATTCCTCTCAGTTGGCTCTCCAGAACACTCTTGGTGGCCAGGAAACAGGTATCATTATGATGGCCTTTTGCAAAAGGGAGAGACGAAGCTGAGGGGGTAGCTGATCTTAATCACAGAGCTGGCTGTTGGAAGTTTAGCTCAGGGCTAACGGGTTTGGTACAGTGGCTAAGATGCCACCTGGGACTCCCACATCTCTTCTCAGAATGGTTGCGTTCAAGTGCCACATGCACTCTTGATTCTAGCTTCCTGTTTGCATACATTCTGAGAGGCAGAATGGCTAATTAGTTGGGTGATGGCTAAAGTAGTTGGGTCTGTGCCAACAATGTGGAAAACCTAGACTGTGCTATGGGCTCCTAGGTTTGGCCTGGTGCACTCTCATTGCTGTGGCCATTTGGATAGTGACCCAGCACACAGTAGGTATCTCTCTCTTGTATATTTGCAAGGGAGAGAGAGAGAAACTCTTGAAAAAGAAAAAAAAAAAAAACTTAGACCAGAAATCTGTTTCTAGTTTCTCTTCTAACCTGCAGGGTGAACCCAGTCATATCTGTACTTCTGTTCCCACCCCCAGCTAGGCCCCACTGAGCCACTTTCAGTTCCCCAAAGGAATTGCTTTGCTCCCACTCAGACAGCTGAAACGCACTTTTCCTAGCCTTGGAGTCCTGTCTGTTCTTCTCCTTCCCCTTTAGTCTGGAACCAACATACATAGGCTTGAGTTCTGGCCCCACCACTTATTGTATGAAGAGAATAACAATATCTACCTCACAGGGTTGTTGTAGGATAGAATAAGGTTTCTTAAAACAGTCTGTCATCGAATACTCCTGTGTGCTGAAAACTTATCAGCTGTTGCCATCACTCTTCCAAAACCTCTTTTGGGTGTTTCTCCATTGTTTAAACTTCCTGCAGCTTTAAGCCTAGATGAGGCTATGTCATGGATATTTCTACATTATCTCATCATTTGTGCATAAGGTGGGACGCCTCATACTTGTTTATGTCCCTACCCTCTACATAAGTTTCTCGCACCACAATTATAATTTTTTAAAAATTTCCTTTGAATTTACATGTTGCTTTTTAGTCTCCAGACTTCTGGCAACTTCCTTGTTACTGTGGATGGTGTGCTGGGAGAAAGTTTGGACCCGGTTAGAGGCACAGGAGGCAGCCATAGAGCTTGTCCAGGTGGCAGAAGCCATCCAGAACAGGACAGAAGCTGAGTACACATTCAGGAAGAGCTGCACACCATTCATGCCTAGCCACTGGCAACACCAGTTTCATAAACTTTTCTGTCATGTCCACAACAGGTCTCTAATGTTATTTGGCAGCCCCCCTGGATATGTTCTGTAAATGAGGATACACTGAGCTTTCCCTGGAAGAGAAGAGCTTTACCAGTCTCTTGTGCAAGTCCTTTAGACTCGTGTAAGCCACTAGCACCTTGAACTCCTTTATGGGTTCTCAGTAAGTAGCTGGTGAGCTAAATAGGTGTTATTTTAATGGATGTTCATTCAGGAGTCAAGAGGCTAGTTTAAAAGGGAGCCTTCGAGTTTGCAGTAGGACTACCACCTGGTGCTGTCTGCCTATTATGGAAAGACATCCCTCTAAGTGAAAAACGGAAAAATAAAATAAATTTCACCACAGAATATTTTTTAAAAAGATTTATTTGTTTGACAGGCAGAAAGAGAGAGAGAGCAAATGGGAAAGAGAATCTTTCATCTGCTGGTTCATTCCCCAGATGGCTGCAACCAAGGCTGGGCTATACTGAAGTCAGGAATCATGAGCTTCACTTGCATCTCCCATGTAGGCTTAGGATCCCAATTACATGGGCCTCTTCCCACAGCTTTCATAGGCACATTATCAAGGAGCTGGATCAAAAATGGAGCTGCCAGGACTCAAACTGATCCTACTTAGGATGCAGGCACTGCAGGTGGCAGCATTATCCACTGTTCCATAGCACTGCCTCTGGTGGATGATACTGTAAGTTGATGCCACACCATGCCAGGGCACTCCATTTGGCCACCTCAACTCTGGTTGAACTTAGGCCCCCAATAATTTCTTAGCCAGGGGCTAAACTGGAGATTTCAGATGGCTCACAGAACAACTACACTGACTTGGAACAGAATGTCTGGTTCTGTAAATGGCCTCTCCCTAGCCCTACTTTATAGCAGCCTGGTTGCTGTCTGAGACAGTGTTCTCTGCTAACGGAAGAAAAACAAATACTACAGAACTTGGCCCTGGGTAAAATCATAAAATACATGAAGTTTATTCCTAGCACCCTTCCTTTCTTCTTTTCTGGCATACCTTCAAACCAATTTGACAAATATTATTATGTGCCTACTATTTCTCAGTCCTTATGCCAAACTCTTGGTTTATAAACAGTTTGCTCATGGTTGAGGGGGAAGACATACTACATACAGCCAACTCTAATTGAAATGAAATTCTGAAAAATGCTAATAGTAATAGCTAACACTATTTCGTGCCAGACACTGTTGTATTTTTATGTGTTGCTTCATGTAATCATCACAACTTCCAGACACTGGTTTCTGCATCTTACCGCTGTGGAAGTTTACCTGGCCAATGTCACACTGTTGATAGTAAGCATCAACTTCACCTGAGGGAATTTTGTCCTTTACGGTTAAGTTGTTAAGCCCAGACTCCCAACATATTTTGCCTCCCTTGGAGTCACAATAGCAGTATAAAGAGAGTGCCACGAGAAGCCTTATAGGAAGTTATGATTGACTTCTGGGAAAAACAAACAAACAAACAACACCAAAAAAGCCCTTTCAATGGTGGGATTGTTCAGTTGGACCCAAAGAGATGTGTAGAGTCTGGTGGCCACCACAAACCTCTTCTTCATCCTAGCACTGCTTAAAGATCTCGTCTCTCTGTACCAAAACGAAAGCTCTAGATTTCATAGTAAAAAGCTCTGGTACCTTTTCCAAGTCCCGAGCAGACAGACTATATATGTCTCCTGATGCTTTGAAGGTACAAGTACAGAGTGTAGCCTTACTATGGATTAGAATTCCCAACCATGGGGTCAAATAAACCTTTATAAAGTAATGAGATGTACATTAAATGATATCCCTAATCGTGATTGCCCTGAACAGTGAAAAGCACATGTAGTAAACAGTTTTAACAAATGATATTGCTTTTACTTGGCTAAACTGGATTTTAAGAGTATTTTCTCTCTTGTGTTATGTCTTGGCTGTTTTTTCAACTGTCTATGATCCCAACCTTTGAGCCCGCAGTCCCCTGCTCCCTCTCACTACTCGGGACTCTGAGACTCAGCAGAGGTTCTGGAGGGAGCTACATGTCCTGCTGCAGCACTTCAAACTAGAGGATAAGAGAAATGCACAATAATCCCACTTGGTACTGTCCCGAGTTGCTGGGTTTAGCTTGTGCAGAATAAAAGGATAAAGACCTGTGTAGATTACACAGGGTTAGTGTTTTAAAACATTTTGGAGGGAGGCCAAAATCAAGGGCATCCCCTATGATGCAGAATGATCAAACATCTTTTTGTTTTTAAAGAACATTGATTTATTTTTATTGCAAAGTCAGATATACAGAGAGGAGGAGAGACAGAGAGGAAGATCTTCTGTCTGCTGATTCACTCCCCAATGGTTCCCAATGGCTGGTGGTCACCACAAAGCTCTTCTTCATCCCAGCATTGCTTAAAGATCTTGTCTCTCTTTACCAATGGCTGGAGCTGAGCCAAT